AGGCGAACACAAAAAGCTTAACAATTATTAGAAAAGTTCAGATATATTAGGAAAAAAACCAGACACTAAATTATTTTTTGAGATCCAAAATTAAAAACATAAAATTTGCATGATTGTTACAGAAATTACAAGTAATAGTATTACGTTTGTAGACGAACTGTTGGTTGTTGAAAGGTTTGAATCAAGGTAGGAGCAGAGAGAAAAACAAGAAACGACCTGAATTTTTAGAGACTGAAAAAGCACATAAACCAACGTGCAAAGAAGACAATGAAACCAATTTATACGTAATTTTTGAGTCAAAATATAAAAATTAAAAAATTGTGCAAATTTGCTTTTGATAATGAAGCATAATTTAATTCTAGCCTGAATAATTAACAGTTAACAGGGAAACGTATTAATATTTACGAAAGAAAGCACTAAATATGAAACGAAAAAGAAGAATCAGAAGAACCAGTCAGAACAGAATAAACTGTTTAAAAAACCACTCGTGTGCAAAAATTGAAACAAATCGCACACATTTCATAAAAGCATTCAAAGGGCAAATTAATAAAAATAAATAATTTAGGTCAATTACAGGCAGAGTCTTTTGTTACCGTCTTTAAATTGATCGAAAAACCTAAATTTCCGTTGCAGTACTACGGACAGAGTAAACTATTGAAGAAAATGTTTTGGGAAAAGAAACCAATTATCATCTTTAATGGCAAAATTAACAAAAAAATGAAAAACACTAAACTACTGTTTTAGATCCAAAATTAAAAATATAACGTTTGTATAATTGTTACAGAAATTGGGAGCAGAACGAAAAGAAAAAACGAACTGAAATTTATAGACTCAAAAAATACATAAGCCAACGAGAAAAGAAAGGAATGAAACCAACTTAAAAGAAATAATTGCACACAAATTGGAGACAAATAAACTATAACGTAACAGCGTTTGGATCATACCTATTCATTCACATAAAATCAGATAAAATACAAAAAAAACGGGCGACCTTCAGCGATATGAACCAAATGAAAATCAGATAGGCAAATTATATAACCAAATGAGTCTAAAATAAAACGAATGCAAATAAATCCAAACACTGAATCACACTTAGCTTAACAATGATTATCTAACAGCGAAAAGATAAAGGAAGCAAACATGCAAAAATTACGAGGCCTTGAACGGCCTTGTGTTCCCTCCTATCGCCTACTACTAAAACAAACTACGTCAGCTCAGTGAAATAAATCACCATTAAAAAAGTGCATAATCCAGTTAATCCATACTAAGGGAACTTTTATTAGGCTCTAAACCGGTGGTTTTGATGGATTGAAGCGCAAAATCGGCGTCGTTTTAATTGGAAAAAATCAAATATGAATCGTTCGATTCAATCACGTCCACCCAAATCTTGACGATTTCGTCAGCATCCACGTGGAAGATTCGGGAGATCTGGATTAGTTTTATGGTCGATGATTTTTTGCGATTTTTAATCTCCAACAACAATTAGGTTTAATTAGGTCGAAAGCGTCGTGAATTTGATTCTGAAATTAGAATCGCACATGACTGCGATTAGCACCGAGCAATTTTTCCGCATGCGAATGTATTTATTGCAATTCGCAAGCAGGGTAACTAATCGGTGGTTGAAATCAGTCTTATTCCAATAAAAATCATACCATCTGCCAATACACTAATGTAAAAGTAGGATCAGATATAACAAATGGTTTTTATGAAAACATATTAACTTTAAATTGCTTAGGCTAGAGGTTTTTGAACTACGACACACACACACACGATTACGTAATGTTCCTAAACATCACCTGATGTCGATTTGTTACTGTTTAAAAAAAAACGAATCAAAACACGAAATTTAATAATAGATTAAAATATTTGTATTATTTTGTCTTGTTTCTATACAAGCGGTGGGCCTTGAAATGATGTCCTAATAATTGGAGGAGAAAATTCATCATAGTTTTTACAACTTTACTTTTTGATAACTTGCAGTAAATAAGAGGGAAATAAATGTTTGCACCCTCTAAACTACCCGCACCAAACCTCTAACTCCCAACTCCCTAACCCCAACTCTTGCAACTGTGTTACATGCTTTTTGATTGAATTGCGTTTCTACACCTTCTTGTGCAGCAATTTAAAAATTGCAAATTCATATTGCAAAAATTCACTATTTTTTCTAAAGTACATAAGCGGAAGAAAACAATTTTTCCTAGTGAGTGATCATTCTTTCCTAATAACTTACTTAAAACTTATTTTTATAAATTTTACATTTTATTCAATTTTTCAAATTATTATCCTTTCTAGACAGTTTTTGGCATTTTGCGTCGAAAAAAGTACACATTTGACCAACCGAAAAAGTGACAATAAAAACATAAAATCACTGCACTTTTTAAAAACAATTTTCACAATTTAAAAAAAATCTTTAAGCTTCGAACCTAAACCTGCTTAAAATGTAGAAAACGCAAAGAAAACTACGTAAAGGCAATAAATAAAAATAATCAGTGGTTTAGGTTTAGATTGAAATAAATTGCATACAATTATTAAAGCGCAAACTTGTAAAATATATATAACAGGTAGAATCGGGCAAATCTGGCTCAAATTTTTGACGAACACAGCAAGAGGAAACGGATTATTTCAAATTATTGCTGAAATCGAGACAGAAGCATCGAGCTTTTGAAAAATCCAAGGCAATAAAATAAACTTATCACAGCCAGTAGTGACTAATTTTATTTTTATTTAGTTCCTTATTCTTCCATCTAATTTGATTTGTATTTAATTTTTGTTTCATTGCAAATTAGCTTTGTCCTATTCGCTTATCTAGTGAGCGTTACATTACGTTCTATAAGCTCGGGGAGAACTTTATTTTTACAAATATTTAAATTTCCTTCAAATTAATAAAAAACGAAAATGATTTGGATCAAAGTTTGTTATTAAAATTCGCTAAATTTTGCGAACAAAATCAGTGGTTTTACTTGTGATAATTCCAGAATAAATTGGCATGTTTTCATTTTTTATTAATAATAAAGTGGTTATTTTGCCACAGTTATAATGACAGAATTGATCACGCAATGCACTTCCGCGTCTATTAACGAAATTAAATAATTTTCTACCGTTAAAATAAAATTAAAAGTTTAAAACAGTTTGTTGTAAAAACTGGAAATACTATGTTTCATTAATTTTGCGATCTGCAGAATTTCTTGAGAACTTGAGGAACTTGTAAATTTTGAAATTTGTTTTGCTTATTTTTCTTTAAAGTTTATCGTTTCAAAAATGTAACTTAGAAACGGTATTCAGCAGCTGCGTAAAAAAATCACAGGATACAGAAAAAAGTTTAGTCCCCGAATTCTGAAAATTTAATTCTAAACGAAAACCAGCTTGATTTTGAAAATTTTGAATTTTGAATTAGTCGGTTTACACTTTCGACACTTGTGGTTTCAAAGGTCTAACAAACCGGACAAAACAGCGGCGTGAAAATTTCACACGTGATAGAAGACTCTTCAATATTTATATCTTGAAAAATTCATTATAAACCGACTCCAATTTGATTTTTTGCAAATTTTCAAAATCTACCCTGAAAATCGACTGAAAATGTTTCTCATTTACGACACGCTTATTGCCACAAAAGTCTAACTTCTAAACGAGACTAAGTAACTGCGTGAAAATTTCACACGATTTAGAAGAAAAATCAATTCTGGCATATCTGAAGACATCATTCTAAACCGACGCAAGAAGAAGTTGCTGTAAATCTGCAAAAACGAATTTTTCAGCTGTTTTTTTCTTTTTCTCTCTCTCTCTCTCTCTCTCTCTTGAGCCTTTAGAAGAAAAAATGGCCTTTTTCGGCAGTTGAAAGCAAGTTTTATTGGCTGCTGAGTTTTCAGTTGGGTAACAAAAAATTGAAACTTGATAACATAGAAAATGCAACTGAGAAGCCAATAAAACTTTAAAGTAACGACAAGAATGCCGATTTCTTCCTCTAACGGTCGAAGAAAGGCGCACGTTGCTATCTTTAAGAGTTTCTGAGAAACTAATTTTTTAAATGTCCATTGCAAGTGATACTTTTCGGAAAAAAATTACGCGTCAACGATATGAACAAATGGTCAACTGTGTGGCATCGAATAATTCGAAATTTAATGCAAAATCCAGGAATGAAGAGAAAAATTGCGTGTGCTATTTAAACAGCCCAAAGTTGATGTCCAAAAAACATTTTTGCATATACAGATTGCAAATTTACGAAAACACGCTATTTTTGTTTTTTGCCGTTTAGCCGCAATAAAATTATTTCTTTCTAATATAAGCATATAAATCACGCCGAACCGTATTTAAAAGTAAGCCATTTGAAGAAAGGACTTTTGGTATCTTTTCTAACATTATTTCGCTTTTTGATTTTCATCAATAATTAAATATAATTGTAAATAATTGAATCATGTGAACTGAGAAATTAAATTTGCGGTTTCCTTTAATATGCTTCATTTTCGCAACTATCTCAGTTTAAATTTTAGCTTGGTTTGCAGTTTAAGATCGACTACAATGTTACAATAACAATAGGTTCTTATGGGTGAAATTATAAAATTAAGTAAAATTTTTCAGTCAAGTGAACAACTATAGTTCGGAAAAAATTGCGCTTTTATAAAGAAAATTTTCCAAAAATTAACCCAGTTAGTACTGAAGGAACATTCTTCTGCTGTTATCTTATCCTTTTCTGCCGCACAGAATTCTACTGGACCGAAATTTTTTAAAACTCTCTAAAATTAGCCATGTTTTGTAGTGAAAACTCTAAAAAAATGCGCAAATTTCAATAGAATGCTGCTGATGAAACAAAATTCATAAATCGCAAAAAAATTTAAAAATCCGGTATTTGCAAAGTTTTCAAATTTGCTAAATTACCTTGAACGGACGTCACCAGTGAACGTAAAATCAACCTAATCACCAATCAAATTAGGCAAGGTTATGGTTTCGACATTCAGTTCAAAAATAACGTAAAAAAACTCGAACTATCTGAAGTAAAAACTCACCTGAAAAAGTCAGAAATCATCGATTCGCCCCGTCACTCTGCCCCCAAATCCCGGCTACCAGTCGAAAGGGAAAATCAAAAAACTTTCGAAATTTTCCTCGGAAAAAAACATCGCTCGCAATACAAACTACCGGCCGGCGTGTGTTAAAAATTTCGCGGCTCGGATTCGGAGGCTTCGCGCGAATCGCCGCGACTTGCAGAGCAGAGAAACCGCGGTAGATTGAAGACTGTGGCCTGCCGGGAATCTCATAAGCTCGAGCTTTTTTCTCCACTACCACGTACAGTGTGTGGTTCTATTGTAGTGCGTGTTTTGTTTAAAAATTTCCTTTTTTTCTGCTCTTGGCTTTTTCTTGTTTTGCTTGCTTTTTCACTTATTAATTCATTTTTATTTTTTGTTTGCTTTCATATACATTTGAGGCCAAAGGTTTAGATTTTTTAATACGTATCACGTTACTGGTAGCGCCCCTAAAACTGAACAAATTTTTTTTCAATAGCGGGTTTGCGACCGGGTTAAAAACTTCTTTTTTTACTACTAATCTGAGTTAGTCACCATTTTTTCCAAGTGATCCTCAAATGTTCCTCAAAAAGAAAGCTGCTCACTTTTAAACACTCTGTATAGCAGATGAACAATTTATTAGATTTAGTAAGTACCTAAGTAAATTGATCTTT